CTCATGTTTATGACAGTTGTAGTGTCTCAGGGTCATTTGATCCCCTTTGGTGACCTCCTTGCAAGCTAAATCAATGGGGAAGTCAGATTCACTTAACAACTGCAGTGATTTGTTTTACAACTGTGGCACGAAAGGTCGTAAAATGGGAGGAAAAAAATGGATGTTTCACTTAATGGATGTTTCACTTAGCAAGAAAAATTTTGCGCTCAATGGTGGTCGTAAGTCAAAGACTACCTGCAATGGTAGTCAGGATCCGAGGTCTTGATCCAGATCTTTTAGAGTCTGGATACCCAAGCAAGACTCAACCCAAGCAAGACAAAGTAGCTATTTATTTAAAAAGCTTATTGGTTCTGGGGTTGTACCAACATTGGTTTTTCAGGGGGTTCCACATTCCTATGGATAGTAGGCCCATAATTTTTGGAGTCCAGAGCTCTCACAGCTGCTCTCAAAAGGGATCTGGATCTGGAATCCATGGCCTGGAAGGTATTTGCCCAGCTCCATCCAATGCACAGTTGATGGCCTTCTTTCCATAGAAGACGTACTGCACTGCCGATGATCACCCGTATGCCTGGATTTACTGTAATTGGCTTTTACATAAAGCTGCTCTCGATGACCACCCAGAAACTCCAGCTGGGGTAAAATAGCATGGCCCTGGTGCTTACTGGACAACTTCATTATTGCCATGTAACACCACTCCTGTGGGAATCGCATTGGCTAGCATTAGCTTTCTGAATGCAATTCAGGGTGCAGGTTATCACCTATAAAGCCCTTTATGGCTCAGGGATTTGGGGTCTATAACACTGCTTAACCCACCCATTCTGAGTAAACAGAGTGCCTGTGGAGGATCCCCACCTACTGAGACGTAGGATGGGAGAAGGGGGAGGCCTATTTTGTGGGAGCTGTTCTGAAATGGCTTGTGCTCTGAAGCAAAAGTGCTTCTCATTTTTGCAGCCTCCCTGAAAAGTTGTAAAAACTTGGCTCAGAAACCTGCTTGTTCCGCACGTACTAGATCCACATACAAGATTATTATAAGGGCATTATGTATTTTGACAGTTTTGTATTTTATTTTGCATCAAGTTATGTTGCTGTGTTCTTGAAAACCTATTTGGGTAGTTAGAGATTGGGGGCTTCAGAAATCTGATAAATAAACGAGAAACATGAGAGGGAGGGAGGGAAGGAGGGAGAGAGGAGAGGGAGGGAAAGAAGAAATACTTAGTTGTTGTCTCATGTTTAATAGTTTCAATTTGTAATCTTCCTTCCATTGCAACAACCACCAGACAGAAAAAGTAATATGAATCACTAAGCTACTTCTAATAGGCAGCAATAATTAAAATAAGCATTAATAGATTTAAAAGGCCGAGCTGAAGAGGGAAGTTTTAACTCCTTTGATAATGGTGAAAAAATTAAGACTAAGCAGAAAGAGTCTGTATGTAGTTGAACCATGGAGTCCTTGGTGTTCTTTAAGCTTGGCTGTTTGCCAGCAGACATTTTGTTACCCAATTAGGAAACATTATCAGTGCTTTTGCTTGCAGACATTGCATTGATGATGTTACTTAGTTGGGCAATGAAATGTCTACAAGCCAACAATAAGCTCAAGAGGCCACCAAGGGAAAGATAATATCTTTCATTGCTTGGGAACCTCACAGAAAGTTAGGGAAAAGCGATTAAAAATAAAATGCTAGACGAGAGCATGAAATGCATCCTTAGCTTAACTTGGTAGAATATATTCAGCATTACAGGTAGTCCTTGACTGACAACCACAATGGAGCCCAAAATTTCTGTGGCTAAGCAAGACATTTGTTAAGTGAGTTTTGCCCTGTTTAAAGACCTTTTTTTGCCACAGTTGCTAGGTGAATCACTGCAGTTGTTAAGTTAGTTAACAAGGTTGTTAAGTGAGCCTGGTTTTCCCACTGACTTTGCTTGCCAGAAGGTTGCAAAAGGGGTTCACATTGCAATAGTTATAAATATGAATCAGTTGCCAAGCATCTGAATTTTGATCATAAAACCATGGGGATGCTGCAATGGTCGTGTGACAAATGGTCATAAGTCATTTTTCTCAGTGACGTAACTTTGGTCACTGACCAAATTATTGGAAGTCGAGAACTATCCGTATAGTGCAGCTTTCATTTTTAAACTGTCTACTAAAATTTTAAACCTGATTCATTTCTATATAGCCAAGGAAGTGTAATATTAATTTTGCTATTTATTTAAGAAAATTTATATGGCTACCCCACACGCTCTCAGAGACTCTGGGTGCCTTACAAAAATAAAGTTAGGATCTTCTGTGTCCAATAATCATATGTGAAATGGAGAGGAAATGCATTTTGGGGGGACAAGGCAAATTGGCAATTGAATTTCATTCAGTTTCCTCTTAATGACATTTAAAAACTGGCATTTAAAATAATGAATCTATAGTTCAAGGCAATACATTCCTTGTCCAAGGGAAAGAAATAACCTAGGACTTGGAACACATGTGTGTTTATGAAGGTAGGAATGGATCTTGCAATGCAGAAAATTCCCTTCAGCTTTATCTTGTAGTCTTTACTGAATACATCAAAGGAAATTGAGTGTTACCTCATCGGCATGGCTGGAGGACAGGAAAACCTTCTAGAACAGAATTTTTAAGACATTTCCCACATGTTACTCAACTGCATCGACTGACTAATCCACTGTGGATATTCCAGGCTTCCTTTGAATTGTGAGGTCATACAATAGCAATAGCATTTAGACTTAGATACCATCTCATAGTGCTTTACAGTATTCTCTGCCCCCAACAATCTGGGTCCTCATTTTACAGACCTCAGAAGGATGGAAGGCTGAGTCAATCTCTTGAGCACTGTCAGGATCGAAATCCAGGCTATGGGCAGAGTTTGCCTGCAATCCTGCACTTTAACCCCTGCACTAGAAAGGTAGGTTTACAGGCTAGGAGAGTCATTGGTTTGGTAAATTGGATAAATAAATGTTAATCTGTGGCGACAATCTTCCATACAAACCTGCTCTAGAAAGAAATCTTATGGAATCATTGCCTTTCAAAGTCTAAAGAAATAGTTATTGTAAAGAGGCAAATATATGAGCATTGCAACAATTGTACTTGAAATTATCCAGCAAAGATAAAACATGAGACCCCAGAGAGAGGAGAGATAAGGTACAATCATTCCATTACAGGGACATCATTTGCAGAGACGATATCAATATGCTGGATAGTTCTTTAGAACCTGAGCAACAAATGCATAAATCAAAATAAATACAAAATTATAAGCATGTTTGATTGATTTGCAAAATACGTTCCAATCACAAAATCCAACTTTTACTGGCAAAATGTTTTTAAAAGGTTAAATAATGTGTTATCGGTTCAAGGAAGTCAGGTGACACGTTTTATATTTTATTTCTATTAAAATGTTACACACTACAGCTACATTTTTTACACATAATTCTTAAAGGTTGGTTTGTTTTTTACCATTTTATGATTACAAAAATCCACTACATATTTATCCAGTGTTTAAAAAGGCAAAATTGGAATACATAAATATACATTTAAGTATAAATACAGTAAGAAAATAAACAGATGTATGTGTTTAATAAATTAATCATAAATAGAGCATTGACAATGAAGTGCTTGTTGAAGAAAATGTTTTCTTCTGATTTCTGTACAACCATATTATATACAAGAACTTTTTAAAAAGAATAATGTCCCAAACTTTTTCCAAAATGTAATTATTAAAATCTTAACTTGTAAAATGTCATACAGAAGGTTCCCAATCATCCAGGACCACAGTTGTTCCAAAGGTCTTGTTTGAAAGACACTGTTCGAAAGGCAACTGGTCTTTTCTTGGTTTTTTTTTCCTTGAAAACATTTTGCTTCTAACTGAAGCTTCTTCAGTTCTGAAGAAGGTTCTTGGATGAGAAGCAAAACATTTTCAAGGGGAAAAAAAACCAAGAAAGTCCCGTTGCCATTTGAACACCACCTTTGGGAACTGTTGCTAACTTTAATGTGGATTACATTGCATTACTTTCAGTAGGAATTTAAAACAGCCTGGACTACATTCAAAGCATCAGCTATATGAAATGGCAGCTTTTATCTAATTGGCCTGCCTTCTTTCATATGGAGCTACTGAGATGAATCAGGCAGTGTCTGAGAACTCTGGTAATTTCAGTCATAGCACAACAGGAAAGTAACTGATTGGGAGAAAAAGTAGTCATCTATATTTATTGAGAATTAACGTTACTTTCATTGAAAAAAATAATTATGTGGTAGAAAGTCTGGACAAAATTATCCAATCTGTAAGTGAATGATTAAAACTGAATATAGATTTTACATTTTTGGCATGCCTAAAGAAGCACATATTTTAGTTTTAAAAGATTGTTCAGTAAGCAAAATAGACATTTGTTGTCAGTCAACAGAGAAATCAAAAGGATTTAGCTGCATCACTTTTTCCTTGCTTTCCCAGATAGCAGCCTAACCCATTTCGTTTTTTCAAAAAATTAGCTCTTCACACAGTTGCAATTGTTCCTGAGCAAACTCACATCACTGGAAAGTCTTTATACCAGGGGTGTCAAACTCGCAGCCCATGGGCCAGATGGGTCGCGCTGGCCAGGCCCACCCCCATTTTAGTGAAGGGGGAAAAAAGTTGCAATATGTCATGTGACGGGTCATCGTGAGTTTGACACCCCTGCTTTATACCATTTAGCAGCAGATATTGTCTTGCTAATAAAACATGACAGTGTTATTATTTAATTTCTCCTATTAGTTGAAGTTTATATTACCTTTTTAAATTATATTACCTTTTAATTACCCTCCAACAGCCAATCTCCTTAAAAATAAAGCAGAAGTCTGCAAAACATAGTGAGATCTAGCATGTATCAAAAATGTGTAACTCCCTTTTGTTTACTTAGTTGTGGCTAATTTATTTCTAAAACTATTCTGTTTAAATACATTGAAAGAACAGGAATCATCCATTCTTTGAAGGAAAAGCAGTTATTGAGACTCAGAGGTAATCAGAAGTAATGAAGCAGTAAATTTTTAATGGGTTTATCTTTCCAAAAATCTTCCAAAGCTAAAGAAATTCTGCAGGCTTTGAATCTTTCTCATTCCTAAATAAAACATTTAGAAGGAACTTTTCTAGCTATTTTACAGATGAGAGAAAGAGAGGGTGAATGAGTATAGCTTTCTTGGAATTAGTATTGCTTTACGAAGGTGGTATCATATATACACATGTTTTAAGTTATCACTTCAACAAATACAATCCTAACCTCTTGATAACATCTCTATAAAATCTAATTAACGAAACAGAAGTTATTAACCAAAACTAGGACTTTGTACTAAGGATACTTCAGAAGTGATACCAAAGGGATCCATGCTGTCAGTTTCAACTGGTTGATGAAAAATACCAGATTCCAAATTTTGCCTGGTATCACTATATTCTCCAAAATCTGTAGTTTCCACTGGCACAGTGTTCATCATAGGTAGGAAATGAGACAATGGAAGAAAGTCTTTTCCTTTGTATTGTTGCCTTTGCCTGGCATTACTTAAAGACACCAAGATTCCATATTTCTTTGACTTGTAGATGTTATAGCCATCTGGACGTATCTCCTCTTCAAATGAGCAATTCTCTGTGGTATATATAAGCTGAAAAGAAAAAAAGTAAACATTACTACATACTGCATGAGTTTATAAGTCTCTTAAATGGCAGATGAAGCAACATTGTTTGTCCAAATAATCAGCGGAATTGTCTATCTGGCTACAAGATAATTAAATATGATATTCCTTAGAGAGATTAAATTGGATTTCTTATTTCACAGAGCTAAAATAATCTTAAGGGAATCTCAAGAAGAAACAGGAAGTATTTATAAATCAGATTATAAGAAGTATTTATAACTAAGTATAGTCTGTAACAAGTTACTACGGAATGGCGATCAATTTTACAAGGTTCATTTTTATTTTTACAATTTTATTTGATTGGAAGGAAATAAATATTTTTAATTCCTGTTTGCTCATCAAGCAATTTATTGCTCATGAGTTGTTTTCACTATGCATAAAAAATAAAGGAATTATCATAGTTTGAACTGAATGCTTTTTTGGGTAATAATATATGCTGTGGAAAACAATGAAGAAAGTTTCATAGTAAAAGACTGGGGCATGATAAAAATGTTGTCATGCAAGACTTAATTATGGGTTAAAGTACTGAATGAGTTTCTTTTTTAACCATCTAATGGGGCAAATAAGCAGTGTCAATCTGACTTATTTATGTCCTTTCAGTATCTCAGTTTGGCATCTGCTTAGATCAGGTAACCTGAAGATATTTTGAGCTTCAGTTCTCAATAGTTTTAGCAACATGGCTAATGGTAAACAATTGTTAGAATTGTAGCCAAAACAATTTGGTGTGTACCAGTTTGTCTACCCTTGCCCTAGATTGTAAGGAGGATTTCTAAATTCTATAAAAACACAGATGCAAAAATTTGAATTATGCGAATAATGGAATGAAGACTGTTATAAAGGCTATTCCAGGGATATTAACGTAACACTCTAGTGTGGAATTAAACCTGGAAATCTTAGCTGCAGCCTTCAAAGTTGACAAAAATCATTAGCAAAATTAATTTGTAATGTAACAGAAAGAGAAAATTATTAAATACAATGATTGGAATTAGTTGTATCAATTACATTTCATTTGTATTAGCTATAAATGAAATAATACAAATGATTTTGGCAAAATAGCCCTGGCGTACTCAGATTGGCAGCAAACCTTGCCCCACTAAAATTGCCAATTGTTTTCGATGATGCGAAAGCAACCTTTGCACAATAGTTGCTTAAGGACAGTGCCATCCAGCCATTTTTACAGTTGGTAATAGGTCTATTTCTCAATACATACTCCAACCTAACAAAAATAAAAGTAGTCCTCCATTTACAACAGTTTGTTTAGTGACGGTTCGAAGTTACAATGGCACAGAAAAAGTGACATGCCCATTTTTCACATTTTGTTCTGATCCAAGCCTGGTTCCAAGAGAGCAAACACAAGACAAAGGCAGCAGTATAACCTGTTTATAAGGTTATACTGCTAAGCTAAGTATCCTGTTTCTTCACAAATAAAAGGCTGCCTCCGACTAATTAACTCTGACAAGAAAGAGCCTTTCGAAGTTTTTTCAAGTCTGCCAAAAAAACAACAGATAATAGTTTACCAGAGTCTTCAAATACCAACTGTAATGTCCACGAGGCTGAGTTCAAAACGTCTTTGCCTTCTGCAAAGTATGTTCGTTCACAGCTGGCTTATCTTCTTGAAGGAGGGGCCATTATCTTGCAGCCTTACTCCCGAGTCGCCTGTAGCTGTTGTAGCTGCTCTTTCCTCCGAGCAATCCTGTGCGCATGCGCACTTGGCACAGGCTCCTCGGGAACCTCCTCATCACTGCTGCTAGCCCCCACAATCTCTGAAGGCAGCAGTCCACTCCCTAATGGTCCTGGCCCCTCATCTGAGTCCTCACTCTCCTCAGCCATCCACAACTGCTGCCGGCTAACCACAACACACTTATGACTATTGCTACACGCCCCTGGTCATGTGATCAAAATTCAAATGCTAGGGAACTGACTCATTTATGATGGTTGCAGTGTCCCAGGATCATGTGATCATGTTTGGTGACCTTCTGACAAGCAAAGTTAAAGGGGAAGCCAGATTCCCTTAACAATCACGTTCTTAACAACTGCAGAGATTCACTTAATGCCTGTGGCATTAAGAAACTTAAATTACAATGCCTCACAACAGAAATTTTAGGTTCAATTTGATGAGAAGTCAAGGGCTACCTGTTTAAGTTGTTGAGGGAGAGGGTTTGCCTTGTAAGAAATGTATGTTTTATGTATGTATTTTCATTTGGTGGGAACCACAATGCCTTCCCACGAGGAAATTCCCACAGACTTCATCAAGTAACAGGCTTCAAAAATCTGAGCAATCATTAGAAAGTTGGAAAGGTCTTTAGAAAACTCTCTTTCCTGCCATTGCATGCTCATCCATGCTTTTCCAACCCATATCTGATAGCCTTAATTGAACTTCAATTCTCCAAATTACTGGATATCCTGCTGGAAACTGAAACCCAGGGTATCTGGAGAACACCAAACTGGGGAAAGCTGGAATGAAACTTGTTTGGTGATGTAATGGAATAAATATTCGCTATTTTGTATATTAAGAGCAACAGAAAGAAAGGTGTTCATTCGTAATTCAGAAATGTTAATGCTATGAAGAATGTGGCCATCATTTCAGAGAGTTTTAGTCTCTTTGTGCCACTGTTGTTTTTCCTAAAACTCTGGTGTTACTCTGGTTCAGTCATTAGAGGTAACTGAACTCTTGGTCAATAAAAAAGTATTGCTGATTACGTAGAATGCTTCAATGATAAGAGAAATTGTGTTATTGCACAAGTTCTTTCTCAGTCAAGCATCTGCACCATTCATTTATCTGGCATACAAAACAGACTGAAAATCCCATCACCCATCACTTATTGCTGAATATTTTATAGCAGAATTCCTTCCGAGAGACAAATAGGCTTCAAATACAGGTCCTTGCTTCTTCACCAATAGCTTGGGCAGTCAGTCATTTGGAAAACATGTTTTTACTCTTTGTCAAGATTAGCAACGGCATGAAATGTGAAGTTGCCGTCATGACCATCCCTTAATAGCACAACTTTGAAAATCAGCACCATTTTGAATATGGTAGGAATTGAGCAGGAAGTATGCAAAAATAGTAGTGCATGCCCTACAATAGGCCCAAAAGTTTGAAAGAGAGAAAGAAGTACATCCAAAATTTATCCCACCAACACACCATAAACCCAGGAGGGGAAAAAAAGTAAGTTGTGCTCCAAAAGACTGGGGAAACTCTTGATTTAAAATCCTGCTTCAACTATGGAAGATCACTGAATATTTGAGGCCGTTCATTATCTTTCAGGCAGAACTACGTTGCAGGCTTGTAAACGAAACTGGACAAATGGGTGCTGTGTATACTGTTTTTAAGAAAGAAATATAAGCAATGAGTAAATTGTCCCAATTATTGCACCTCTGTGGTGTTATAGGGTATAGCCTGTTTTATTTTATTGATTAAAATAAAAACAAGTTCACAATCAACAGTGTAATTGAATATATTTAGTGGTATGCTTAGCAAGGTTTAGTTCTAAATGGATATAATTGCACAAAATCACACAGATAAGCAATACTTCAGGAGGATACATGCTAATCCTTATTTTAATGATGAGACAGCTTTAAACAGTATTGTTGTTTACAAGCAGAAATTACATCAGATTTGAAGCCTACTGTTTAAATCTTTAGTTACTATTGAAAAGTTAACTTTTTGCACCCTACGTATTTTCATTTTTGAAAGGAAGTGAATTTTAATGTAACAGGCTGAGCATTATGAATGGAAGCAGTGATAGTAATTATCTAAAGTTATACCTTTAAAAGCATGTAAAAAGCAATGCCTGCCTGCCTGCCTGCCTGTCTATCTATCTATCTATCTCTGGGATAATAAAGAAGTGTAAATGGGTAACGTTTTAAATTGAAGCAAAATGAAGAACGCCCTTCCCAGCCAAAAATGACCAAAAATATTGCTGTGTCATCAACTACACATTCAGTCCCTTAGAAGGTCATTGAAAACAACAGGATTACAAATCATTAAAAATAGGGGGTTTTCTTCTCCTGTTCAGGTTGAATGAGGGCTCTAGTTTAATGTACTGCAACTTGCTGTATACTTATTTTCCAATCTGAAATTGCATTAGGAATATTGCTTTCAATAGGACAGAATAACATTATGTTTGGGTGACCCTGAGGTTCTAGTAAGCAGTTACATTTGGGTAATTGCGGGAGCTATGTAACACTGATTTGGTGTGGGGAGCATGACCATTGCTACCTATCAGTATTTCCTAGGATATTTATTTCTTTATTTATACTTATTTATTATTAAATCTTATCTGCTACCTAATACCTACTATATTCTTGGCATAGAGAAAACATTAAAAAAGACCCAAAGTACTTAAAGTTTAACATTTAAGTGCTCCATTCATTAGCAATTATAAAAGATTTTTTTTTCCAATCTATAACACTGGCCATTTCAACTTTTTATAATCTAAAAGGAGTTCCACATCTACAGCTAGTCCACTGTTCTGCTGCTCAGCCACTATGTAGCACATCACTGATGCCCAAAAGGTTGAAGTAGCCAGAGACAACAAGCATTCTGGAAAATTCACAAACACCCTGCCAGCTTCTGTCCCTTTCTTCTCCGTTTGTTCTTATTTATCCTGCTTGCTAGATTGCAATGCTTCCCTTTCTGCAGGCTTGCTTTTTTTTTTTTTTTTTTTGTTTAAATCAGTGTGCCACACCTTGCTGCAAAAATCCAGATGACCAGCAGATGGGAGTCAATAGTTAGCTTTCTGCCCTTTGGATTCTGCTGTAATACCAACTCTTATCTAGCTCCTATAAACTATGTTTGCTACCAACACAATGCAAAGGGCACACTGTATATTGTAAAGGGTCTCATTAATTGGGCAGAAATGGCACCTAACTTTCATTATTTTCCACCTGGCCACCTCTACAAAGAAATAATTCCCCCCTTCCAGAGTATTAAAGGAAAGTAGCTAACAGAAAGCTTTGTGAGCCTATGCCTTCCGAAATAGAAGGAAGCTACAAGCAGGGGGAGCTGACTTGCATTCAATAAAGAACGCACGATTTATTTATTTTTCTGAACGTGACTGCAATGCCAGGGATGCAGAGCCGTATCTGAATGCGGGGGAACCCAGACCAAAAATCGCTAGCGAGCCAGCAAAGCTTAGTGGGTGGCCTCTAAAAAAGATTTACGCTCTTATTTCTCCGCCTCCCCTCCCTCAAAAGGTTACCGTGAGGACAGGGCGCGATAAGGATCTATCTTCTGCCTGGAGCCCCGAAAACAGGTCCCCAAAGAAACGTAAACAAATAGTAACTCTGTAGTCTTGTACGTTCTGGAATGTGGCTGAGGCCGCCCCTTAAGCTGCCACGGTGCTGCAGGAGTAGCGCCCGAGAGCTCTTTCATCCCATTTTTCCTTCCAAAAACCCAGTGTAAATTATCAAGCGTCCTGCAAAACTTGGCGATCCTGTGTGAATGCCCCTTCCTCCTCCTCCTCCTCCTCCTCTTCTCTGAGTCTGGCGAAGCCAAATAAAACTCCTCCTTTCACGCTACAACCTTTACTTTAAAGAGCCAGAAAAGCGCGCCCTTCCCGCCACGTTTTAAGGACCTCGGCGCAAACTTGTCCCAGGTCCCCCGCGTGGGGCGCGTCTCGCCTGGTTGCGAACGGAGAGGCAAGACAAAGCCGTTCCCGATCAGGAGGAAAGGATACGTAAGAAAAGACTTATATAGCCTGTCCCCGTAGTTTGTTTTTTTTTTTTTTTAAAGCAGCTTAGTCACTCACCAGTCCGTGCAGCCTGCCTTCCTCTTCCATACACAGGTAGCGAGAGCTGTGCACGCCCTTGATGGCCACCGTGCGAAGCGCTACTGCTCGGATCTCCAACAAACCTGCGCGGGCGGGACAAACAAACCGTTGTAGGGTTAATGTAGTCCGTGGGTGGGGAAATTGCCCTCGGGGAAAGGAAAGGGTCTCTCTCTCCCTCTCCCCCCCCCCTCAGATCCTCAGGAAGGATAGGATGAGCCCATGAACAAAAGCAGGGGTCTTTGTAAAGAGGGAAGAGCAATTGGGTGGATGCCCCATCCAAAGGCCTTGGACAGGGGAGCTTTGGAGGGGGAGCAGAAAAAGACCCAAGGCCCGGGGTTATTTCAGGATCTGGGTTTTCCTCGCGCCTCCGGGAGCGCAGATTCAAAGGGCCACACACACACACACACACACACACACACACACACACACAAAACGGAAGCGGGGAAACGGCTTGGGTTAAGGTGCAGCGAGTTGAGGGGAGCTCCCCGAGCCAAAGCGTCCCCTTCCAAAAGTGAGGGAGGCCCCCGCGGGAAGGACCCACATCGGAGCGTTGACGCTACTTACTGTGTCGACTCTGAGCAGCGGCGCCGTCCACTCGGCCGTCGCCGTGGATCCTGAGGAAATAGCTGAACAGCCCATGCCGGCTGGCCGTGTAGAGGTGCCTGAACCGGATTGGGTCCCCCCAGCCGTAGTAGACGTGCGGTCCAGCATCGGCCAGGGGCACCGATTTGACGGCCGTAGCGAAGCAAAGGCCCAGCAGAGCCAGGGGCGCGGCGCGGGTTTTGCAGACCTCCATCCCCATCCTAGCAGAACGAGCGGCCGGGGATGGGTGGCGGGATTGGGGTGGGGGGTGGGGGTGGGAGCTTCCCTCCAAGCCGAAGGACCGTAAGCACCGCGCGCCGCGAGGTTCCTACGCTGGGGAGGGAGGTGGGGGAGAGATCCCAGCCGGAGGATGGAGGGGCTTCGGGAGCGAATGTCAGAAGCAGCGGGCGAGCCCCTTCCTTTTATAGCTCTTGCTGATCAGCCCAATCGATAAGGCGAATACCGATTCCAATACAGACCCTGAGCAAGTGCTCCGGCCAATTCCCGCCCCGTCGTATTGATCTGGATGACATCACTGCCCAGGGGACACCCTTCGGGCTTCAGCTTCTGACCTGCTCTGGGACGAGGTGGAGCTCGCATTTGCAAGGGAGTCGGGGTGGGCTTTCCAGATCTCTTCCTTCCTTCGCTTCGCCTCGCCTCGCCTCGCCTCGCCTTCCCGCTCGGCTGCCTTGGATCGGTCGCGGGAGAGAGAAAAACCCACCTTCGGCAGTGGGATTCTCTTTCCGAAGCCGCTCGGGGTCACTTCCTTCCCCTACCCAGCTGCCCTCCCGATCCGTTGAAGTCCCGAGAGGTAAAGAATTAGCCACAGCCGCGAAGTCGGCGTGCAAAGCAAAAGTGCGAGAACTTCTGGGGAGAGAGAGCGAGAGAGCGCACGAAAAGGGGGCTTTTTACGAAATAATACACACACACACACACACACACACACACGAGAGAGATGTCCCTCCTCCTCCCCTCCACAAAAATGAGAGCAAAGCCTGTCTGGCTGGGCAGGGATTGTGTTCGGGGATTTTTGCACACCTATATGCACCGTGGCGTTCAACCCGCACAAAACTCGACCTTCCTTTCCACCTGGGCATCTATCTAAAGTATAGGAGTAAAGCAAGGGCGGTTACACGTTCGAGACCACACGTGTGGGGAGGAGGGAGAGCAGAACTGCGGGGCAATTAAAGGAAGTTTAAATCTGAATGCAATTGCCAAATGACCCGGAAAATCGCCTCCCCTTCCACCCATCTCTTTGTTCCCCAAGGTGCCCAAGCGCCTCGGCTGATGCAACAGCGCCTTGAATTGAGAAAAGCTGGAAAACGAAAAGCAACATCTGCAGGCAGCCGGGGAGAGGGGCTGCTTTTTTCTTTTTGAGTTTTAGAAAACAGTTGATATAAAGGCATTTTTTAAAAAAATCCATACTTAACTGTAAAGTAGCTATCTCTCTTCTTAGCTATATTGCTGTTGAAGAGCAACCCCACCCAAGTCTTATATATATAGTCTTATATATATTCGCAAAAGAAAGCTCAGGACCATAAACCAGAAACATGTGGAAGAAGATGGACAACCCTGCAGTGGGTGGACAATGGTTAAAATGGACAATAGTGGATGATTGATGTGTGTGTGGATGGGATGGATGGATGATAGATTAGATAGATAGATGATAGATAGATAGATAGATAGATAGATAGATAGATAGATAGATAGATAGATAGATAGATAGATAGATAGATAAAATATATGAGAATTGGTATACATGTATGCCAATTTGCAGCTGATAAGCCCAGTATGTATAAAGATGTATATATCATCATCATTATTTTAGCCATTGTCTATCCACTGCAGGATGAAGGCCTCTTCCGCATGTTTCCAACCAATATGGTCCTGAGCTTTCCTTTTGCCAACTGGGCCCTGCAATACTTGCTAATGTCATCCATCCATCCTGTTTTAGGTCTCTTTCGTGGATGCTTTTCATCAAGTGGAATCCATTCTATGACTGCCTTGATCCATCTGCTGTCAGTTCCTTTTGCTATGTGACCCTCCCATTTCCATTTCAATTCTTTTACTCTCTTGACGATATCATATACTTTTGTTTGTTCTAAACCATGTGCAGGTCTTTCTATCTTGTTGTGTAATGCTGAGCATGTATCTTTCCATGGCTCATAGTGCCTCTCATAGCTTTTATATGTATGTATTTATATGTATATGTATGTATGTATATATACATACATATGTATATGGACATGGACATGGACATGTATATGTATGTACAGGGACCTACAGCCCATCACTGTAAACATCTGAGGACAGAAATTACACACTGAACCTCTGGGTGGCACTCCAGGGCAATAGGACTATACTTCTTAACCTTTCAGAGTAGCCAAATTTAGCTTGCAAAACATTATGGGAAGGTGAAGATTGGTTTAATTAGCAAAGCAAAGTATTACGATGATGCAAATTCCAGCCCAAAATTCTAAATGGTTCTGAAGGAAGAATGCCTGCTGTTGATTCAGAATGCAAGAAGTTCTATTAGAGTGGGAGATGGCCATGACTCAGGAAAGCTCCTACACCCTTAGGAGACAGAGGAAGACTCTTCTGAACTGTGTGATTAAAAAAAAAGAACATTTCTCATGCTTTCCTGTTACCCAGTGACTGGGCTCGTGCATCACATTAAAACAAAGTGAATGCTTTGTCTGACTCGCAGTGCCATGTGAAAATCCTCAGTGTGGTTTAATGTTACTCATAGATGAAAGTATGATCATTAAGGCTTGGTCAGGAAACTTTGATTTAAAAAGAATCCTGGCACTGAATATATGCAAAGAAAGCCAGTGTTAAATCAGTTGATTGACTAAAATTCTACCAGCAAAACCAACACAATAATACTGCAACTTCGGAATGGAATACACCATTTTGATTCAGTTTTGTTGATCTTTTGTTAAATTTAAAAATATTCTAATTTCAGCAAATGGTTAGTAAAATCTGAAAACTAGCAATATATTCTCAAAACTGCAGTCCTATCCATATTTCAAGTAAATAGATAGATAAAATTACTTTCAAGTAATTTTATCTATCCATATCATCATCGTATCATATTAAAATTAAAGATACTCAACCAATAGATTGAATAGTTTTCTTATATGCAAAAAAAATAGTTTGTGAATTTTCATATGCACTATACAGAATGTTTATTTCCAGTTATAAATATTGAAATAGCCAAATAGCAAATTTGTTGCAAGATAAAAGTTGAACTTTAAAACTGAGTGTGTCCCTGTTTTTACATAGATATGCTGCACATTTCCTTATATTAGTCAAATAAAACAGTGCATAGATTCAATAATATTCAAGAATTTATCCAGAATAATACTCAAATTCTTCAGCTTGCTAATTCTTTGTTTGACCACTAGATAGAGCTTTAAACCTTAAATCTCTCCCACAATCTCTAATTCTACAGTGACAATTCAAAAGTGCTGCCAGGTTATTTCAATTGCCTTTAATGAACCTGTTCTGGTACCTTCAAACTTCCAGATATATCTAATTGAATCTGCATGATTGAAGCAAGATCAATTCTATTTGCTAATCATGATATAGCTAATTTGTTCAAAACGTTTTGCCATAGAAATTTATTTCACTCCAAAATGTAATCAATAAATGTTCCATTAAAAAAGGAGCAAAAAGGAGAAGCAAACTTAGTGAATTCTCAGACAACGTGAACTGTATTTGCTTAAGAGAAACTACAGCAGGAAGACCCAGCATGCTGGTGTGTGTGTGTGTGTGTGAATAAATAGAAGTTATTTATTTATTTGTTTAATAACATTTGAGGTCACCCAACTCCACAATAACTCTGGATAGCTTATCCATAAAAAAGTAATGGGGAAAAACACATAAATGACTGGGAGAACAGGACATCAACTGCAAACTACCCACAACAGAAAGAGACACCAAAATCACTTTTCCTTCATAGAATGAAAAATAGATGGGTGGATGGATGGATAGAAAAAGACAGGTAAGCAGGCAGGCAGGCAAAGGCACACAAATAGATTGAAATAAGCACGTCTGTGATCAATGAAATTCAAAGAAAACTCTAGGGTTGAGGACAGCCATCATAAATTCTTTTATATGTGTATGAAGTTAAGTATATGACCAAATAGCATCCTTTAAAATTAGAGGAACAAATGATTTGGGATGGATCATGCTGCTGTTATGGTGGTTAAATCAATATCCTTAAGACAAGCTTTACTCTTCCTGATTTCTGAGATGCATCCATGTAAATCCATGTAAGTACTATGGAGGTTATTTGCTATGGACAAGACATGTCTAGGATGTCTTTCAAGTTTCATCTTACTCTAGTCTATAGCCCAACAGCAGTTTATACAGAAGTTCCTTTTAATTAAAAATATCATTTTTCAGGCATTTCTAAGGCAGTTTCAGTGATGAGCTGTAAGAGTCATTAAAATGCCAATGAAAATATTTTCCTGTCCTGTTTTTGCCTAGAAAGAATATGGATAGGAAAGCTAATGGTTTGGGTGCAGAATATCCTACCTATATTCAATTCTTCATCTCTTCAGGTAGATCAACTAACCTTATCTGGAGACAAAGCTAGTGCAAGATTTATATTTTTTTTCCTGCCTTATATTAAGTGTGCATAACTTAAACATGTAGTATTAAACTATTTTCATTTATGAGTCTTATCGTTGTATATGTGCTTTATCCCAATGCCATCTGGAAACTGTAGTAATTCTTTCATCTTAGGAAGCAGCACATCAGAAAGAGAAACATTTTAAAACTGAATGGGAAAGAAGAAACCACCACCCCCGAACAAACAAAAACCCAATAGTGGGAATTGACCCCTGATAGAAAATGCAGCCACTGAACAAAGGATTGCTCATATAGTTTCTCAGTGATTAATGAGAGTTTCAGTTAGAGTCCCATTGAGAGAAAGGGACATTAAAGAGAAGTTCTGCATATGCTCTAATAAGGCAGCTTTAGCTGAATGATGTGAAGCTATGTGAACAACAAAAGCTTCTTCAGCAGCATTTTTAACAGAATAGGAAGCTCATATTTAAGAACTTTTGTTTTTTAATAATGTTGGCTTTTTTAGTCCCATCACTCATTAAACTGCTCATTAAACTGCCAATCTTCTTCCATTGATCAATCCTGATTTCTTACTGTATAACATGAATCTGTCACATTTATTTCTTTGCCTATTTATTTACTTAGTGAGTTAATAGAGTTTCTCTCCCACCTTTTCTTCAAGAACTCAAGGCACTGCATGTAGCATTTCCTCTCTTCTGTTTTTCCAAAGCTATAATTGTGGGTTGGGTTGGGTTGGGTTGGATTGGGAAGTGGTGATGGCTGAGGATGAGCTAAAACACACGTC